GTGTGTTGTCCCCCAGCATAAGCTGGTGGTGGCGGACTTTCGATTCCGAGTACGTGTCCACCGAGACAAATGTGCCAAGACCGCGAGAACGAAGTGGTGGAAGCTTAAAGGGGAAGTGGCGCAGACGTTTAGGGATAGGATGCTAGGCGAGGGGCCTTGGGAAGAAGGAGAAGATACAGATGACATGTGGCTAAAGATGGCAACATGTGTACGGAAGGTGGCTGCAGAAGTACTTGGTGTGAGTAGGGGAGGCAAGCAGGATGCGAAAGACACTTGGTGGTGGAATGACGAGGTGCAAAGGGCTATTCAAGAGAAAAAAGAGTGTTTCAAGCGTCTCCACCTCTACAAGAGTGCAACCAACATTGAGAGCTATAAAATAGCGAGAAGGGCTGCAAAGCGTGCCGTGGGTGTAGCGAAGGGTCAGGCCTATGATGACCTCTATCAGCGCCTAGGCACGAAGGAGGGGGAGAAGGACATTTATCAGATAGTTAGGATTCGGGAGACGAAGACGAGGGACATCAACCAAATCAAATGCATCAAGGATGAGTCGGATCGGCCACTGGTGAAGGATAGGGAGATCAAGGACAGATGGCGAGAGTACTTCGACAAATTGTTTAATGGGGAGAGTGACGGTCCTACCCTGGAGTTGGTTGACTCATTTGAGGATACCAATAGATGCTTGGTGAGGAGAATCCGAGAGGCAGAGATTGGAGAGGCTATGAAGAGGATGAAGGGAGGTAAAGCAATGGGCCCTGATGGTATTCCTATTGAGGTGTGGCGATGTTTGGGCGCCAGAGCGTTAGTATGGTTAACTAAGCTTTTTAACCTCATCTTTCGGTCAAACAAGATGCCTGATGAATGGAGGAGAAGTACTTTAGTACCGATCTTCAAGAACAAGGGTGATGTTCAAAGCTGTGGTAACTACCGTGGGATTAAGTTGATAAGCCATAGGGTGAAGCTCTAGGAGAGGGTTATCGAGCATCGCCTACGACGAGTGACGAGTGTGACCCAAAACCAATTTGGGTTTATGCCTGGAAGGTCGACCATGGAGGCGATTTTCCTAATACGACAGTTGATGGAGAGATATATGGACCAAAAGAAGGACTTGCACATGGTCTTTATCGACCTTGAGAAGGCTTATGACAGAGTACCGAGGAATGTCATGTGGTGGGCCTTAGAAAAGCACAAAGTCCCATCTAAGTACATTACCCTCATCAAGGATATGTACAAGGATGCGATGACGTGTGTTCGAACATGTGGGGGCGATACTAACGACTTCCCAATTAAAATAGGACTACACCAGGGGTCAGCATTGAGCCCTTATTTATTTGCCTTGGTGATGGATGAGGTCACAAGGGACATACAAGGTGATCTCCCTTGGTGTATGCTCTTTGCTGATGATGTGGTGCTAGTTGACGAGAGTAGGGCCGGGGTAAATAGGAAGTTAGAGCTGTGGAAGGACACGTTAGAGTCGAAAGGCTTCAGACTTAGTAGGACGAAGACCGAGTACATGACGTGCGCTTTCAGCATGGCTACTCATGATGATGGTGATGTTAGCCTTGACGGGCAAGTTGTGGCCAAGAAGGAGACTTTCCGGTATTTAGGATCGATGCTTCAAAAGGATGGCGGCATTGATGAAGATGTTAGGCATAGAATTGCAGCCGGTTGGTTGAAATGGCGTAAAGCTTCGGGCGTTCTCTGTGATAAGAGGGTGTCACAAAAGCTAAAAGGTAAGTTCTATAGGACGGCGATTCGCCCGGCGATGCTATACGGTGCTGAATGTTGGCCTACAAAAAGGGAACATGTCCAACAACTAAGTGTAACAGGGATGCGGATGTTGCGTTGGTTTTGCGGGCACACAAGAAGAGATAGAATCCGAAATGAGGATATTCGTGATAGGGTCGGGGTGGCCCCAATTGAGGAGAAATTGGTTCAACATCGGCTGAGGTGGTTCGGACATGTCCAACGGAGGCCTCCTGATGCACCGGTGCGCAGGGGAGTTCTACAGCGGGTCGATGTTGTTAAGAGAGGTAGAGGTCGGCCTAAACTCACTTGGGAAGAGTCGGTTCAGAGAGACCTTAAAGATTGGAATATCTCCAAGGATTTAGCAGTGGATAGGAGCGCTTGGAGACTAGCGATCAACGTGCCGGAACCGTGACATTTGCTCCTTTCTATTTTGCTCATTTTTTTTTTAATTATTATTTTTTTTTACTACAGTTTCTATTGGGTTTCATCTCTAGCCTACCCCAACTTGTTTGGGACTAAAAGGTTTTGTTGTTGTTGTTGTTGTTGTTGTTGTTGTTGTATTCATTGTAATTTTGCTATTCCACTTCACATGTAAGTATGAAGTGTAACGGATTATAATGATTTTGAAAGATAATTATTAACAATATTCTTATTGTACTTCACACCAAAATATTTAAGTCAATCAGAACGACTAATAGGAAATACATGAGACAAATACCTAACACATGAAACATAGTGATAACATTTATAATGATATAATATCGTAAAAATTTCTAAAAAAAAATATTATTTAAGAGTTTGTAGTGTGTGTTCATATATGATGTGTAATTGTATATATAGAGGGTAAATACCAAATAGTTGAGAAAAATCGTTAATTAGTCGTTGTAATTTTTAATTATTTTTTTATTTATATTTTTGATTTTTTTGATACATTATTATTATTATTATTATTATTATTATTATCATTATTATTATTATTATTATTATTATATTACTATTATTATTATATCCCACATAGCCCGCTTAGCCCGAAGCCCGCTAGGGTTAGGGTTAGATCCTTTTATTGGTAGCCCGTATAAATCCGGGCTTTTTAGGCCCGAACCGTTTAGCCCGAAATCGCTAGGGCTAGCCCGTTTAACATCTCTAGTTTTTTTTTTTTTTTGCATAACTTTAAACCAGAACTTGTTAGTTCAAGTTTTTACATTATTTAATATATTATCTCGCTAACATGTTTATAGTATGTGTAAGTTTGATTTTAGTATATTTTTTTCCTGATATAAGAAAAATAATAATTTACTTATTCTTATTTATCATATAATAGTCAATTGTTATTTTATTCTAAAGTTTGTTTCATATAATATCATTGTTACTATTTATAACAGTTATATAAGTAGTCTTCTTCTTTTGATTTTATGTAATGATTTTTTTTAATATACATCAATATTATTTATTAATGTAATTAATTTAAAATTATGTAAGTAAATCTAAAATAAAATATTGTTTACAAATGTTTACATAATACACACATGAGTGAGTCTATCCAATTTTTGGTGTTTATTGTATCTCATAATAACTAGAAAAATATGCAATGTGATCCATAAAAACTAATTTGTAAAATAATTAAAAAAAATAAAAACGATTCGGTCACACTGACAAAAGTAACACATTGTCATTTATTTATGTTACTTAACCAATTAATTCTATAGTCATTCTAAAGTTCCATTATACATTAGAATTTAATTATTTTTCATAATAATTAAACAACTTCGATTAGCAATTATCAAAAAATAAATCCCTTCTATAATAATTTTTTTTTTCTAATTTGCATATGCAATGCAAATATATTTTCCGAAAAATTTTACTATGAAAAGAAACCAAAATAAAAATATAATAAAAAAAATTAATCCTGTTTGACAATAATATACAAATAAGTCATATAAATAAATTCTAAAGAAGAGCTAATATATTTTAATTTTGTTATCTGATCATCAATGAAAAAAAAAATTACTTAATGTATTTAGTCATTATCTTTTAAATGGTAAATTATACTACCTCCTATTTTTAATATATGTCGTTTTGAGAAGTTGCACACTAATTAAGAATATTTTTTTTGTCAATAATAACCTTATTTATGAAGATATAGATGAATGTTTGGAGAAAAAGTGAAGAGTGAATATGAAAAGACGTAATGTATTTATTGGCTAAATGAGGGTAATAATGGAAAAAATATGTACAAAAGATCCAAAATGACATTTATTTGGCAAATAGTTGAAAAAGTTAGAATGACATTTTAAAAAAATAGGAGGGAATATTAATTTAAATAACTTATTTTCTTAATATTATTAAATAAAATTTAAGAAAAGATTATATTAACTAAGATTAATTCACAACTTGATTTCACACGACTAATTGGAAGGAAAAAAATTTACATAATTTGTTGCGATTTTCTATAATTTTATGACAATATTTGAGTTATGGATCTAGGGATCCTCCAGAGGACATTTATATCTACCTTTATTTTTTTATCGTTTTGAAAACAAAAAATAAATAAATAAATAAAAGAGAGGATAATCTGTAAAAATCAATAACAACAATAATTTAATAATAATAATACTAATATATCTTGTCATTATCATCTGTCTTAAGATTTCTGAAAGATGCTAGTCCCCACTCTGACAGCTGGCTGACACAACCATAACAAGTACACACGATTTTAATAATAAGAATTTAATTATTATGATAATTGACCATATCACTAAAAATATCGAGGAGAAAATGATTTTTGGACGCATATAGGTAAAAAAATAATGTGAATTTTGATTGAGGAAAGTGCAAAATCCAACAGACATCTTCTCAAGTTTTTCATAAACTAAATACACGGTTTTACTTGTTGTATATCGAAAGTTAACTCCATTGTAGAGCCAACTGTTAGCTTCATAGCAAAACCGACTAGATACAATATCGTTCATACATTCCTATACAAATACAATACAAGTGTTGTGGTGCTTAAATCAAGACTTGGTGCACCACACAGGTACTTCAATGGGGGAATGCTAAAGAATTGGAATACAGAATAATAACCAAGTACAATTTTAAATAGACATAAAATGGGAATTAGCAGAGAAAACAAATCCATGGACTAGTTCAAAGGTTGATTTTTTTATCAAATTTATCGAGCCGGTAGAGCTAAAAGGTCTCTCACTTATATACAACACAATGCGTGTGTCCTCGTCTCCCATGGCTTTCGTCGATCATCACCGCTCAACCTTCATGTTGGGCATTGGATCTGTAACCGTAAGACGAGGAAAAGAATTATTTTTTTTTTTATTTTTTATCAAAAATATGATTTTAGTTACTAAAGTTCGAATTTTGTCCAGCTGATTTCATTTTTATGATTATACCAGGAAAGTTAACGGCATTCGGGAGAAACCCCATCTGAACAATGCTCTGCAATTCATCTTCACTGAATGAAGGAAACTGGTACAAAATGGAGTCAACATCATAAGAACATTACACATAAGTGAGTGATTTTTTATTTTTTATATGAATTACCTGAAGAGTATTGTTAAAGGCATCGAGAGAGGGCAGATGAGTTCCTAAATTTCGAGCATCGATAGGTAGAGGATCTATTGGGCATTGGCTTAATGGACCGGTTAAGGTGTTGGTACCGGTGTTATTATTATGATGAAAGTTTTGGTGAAAGAATGGTGTTGAAGAGGAATCTAAAGTGTACATTTGTTGGGGCAGAGTGATTGCATTTTGTTGGAACATCTGCACATCAATCAAATATGGACCCATCACATTATTGTTATTTCAGGAATATATACACATAAATATGCACAAACTTTGGGGTTACAAATTTGATTTCAACTCACATCCTTGGAGAGAAGATTTTCCATGCTGAAATCCAGGCCTGGATTGACAGAGGCCAATTTCATGGACAGAAACTAGAACATCAAGAATAGGAAAAAATGATGTTAATATAAAGGCCACAGAAAAACGGTTCTTTCTTAAACCGACAGGTTATAAGATTTGGTGTCGGCTTAATTTTACCTCGACTTGGCGCTGTAATGACTGAACGTAGTTAATGATCTCATCAAGCATTAGTGCTTTCCCAGTCACCTGATATCAAAAAGAAATCCCATGATAATCCTCAATCAGTTCTCTACTCCAAATAATATGAAGAATAATTACAAAAACTAACATGAGATAAGATGATTTTCAGTATTACAGTTATGTATCCATATGTTCAAATACTGCAATCTTTTGTAAGTCAACTACATTTTCGGGTACCCGAAAGATGATTTTTTGCCGCACATCGTTCAAGGCTTTTGTAATCTAACCAAAATATCATTGCAACCTGTATTGAAAAAAAGTAGAATTCGGTCGGACCTTATTGCAACCAGGGACAAGATCCTGAAGTAGTTTCATTCTCTCGCTAATTTTTTCACGACGGACCTAACGGAAACAAGAGATGATCAATGAGGCGGGTTAAATTTCAGTAATGTCTTGATAATCTAGCTTTATAACAGTACTAATAATAAAAAATCGGCTCGGCACTGCTTACTCTTTCAGCTAGACTATGGCTATCAGTGGCTTGACCCCTTCTTGCTCTGACATGAATATAGTCCTTTGGTGGCTCGGGCGGCTTCTGTTTGGCCTTCTGTTTATCGCTTTCGTCGGTTGACGCTGATTTTGTTGTCTCCTCCGCTTTCGCCTCAACCCTCCCACCTTGTGCTAGCTTTGAACGTTTGCCATTTTCATTTTCACCACCTTCAACTATCTAATAATAATATTTCCTAGTTAAAATGGAAACAACTTCTCAACAAATAACAATTAAACTACCGTGTTATCGTGATTTGGCATTGATGATTAAAAAGGTGTAGGTATTGACTTCTGCTAACAGGCAA